GGTGGGGGGGGGCTGTGAATCCCTTGTACTGGGGGTGGGCAATATAGGGGGATGGGTCAGGGTGTGGAGGATTTCTCCTAATTCTGGGAGGGTTCAGTGGTGGACCCCTCATCTTGGGGGTTGGGACAGGCCAGGGGGGCTTCTCAGCCCTGGAGGATGGGGGATGGAATGGGGGTTTTGGGGAGCCCCTCATTCTGGGAGCTAGCAGGACTTGGGAGACCCCTGGAGGACTCAGGGGGGCATGTTACCTGCCTCTAGGCGGCCCCAGTTCATCTTCTGGAAGAGTGGCAGGGCTTTGAGCTGGGCGCACTGGTTGTCGCGGAAGCCCAAGCGACCGGCTGGGTCCTTGGCCAGCAGCCCCTCGCAGGCGGCTTGGCAGGTAGGGCTGAACTTCTCTGAGTACTGCACAGGGTCATGTAGGATGCGCCGGGTCACCTCTTTGTTCTCCACCTGCATGGTGGGCGGGACAATGGACAGATGGACGGACACCCCTGGCTGTGCTGGGCCTGGTCCTTGTCACCCCCTTGTGGGGAGGCTGAGGATCCCAGATCCCCCCTCTGATTCTGTTCTCCTCCCACCTCCAGCTCCACATCTGAGCCCTCTACTCCCTTGACTTTCCCCTGACCTGAGCCCCCTCTATTCCCAACCCTCCCCTACTCCTAACCACTTCTGCTCTAGCCCCTCACGTTTGAGCCTCCCTCTACTCCTAGACCTCCCCCTCCCAAACTCCCACCTCCTCCAGACACTCCTCTCCCTCCTGCGCCCCATTGAGACCCCTCTCCTCGCAGCCCCCCTTCCAGCCTCTCAATCCAAGCCCTCCCCCTCTCCATGGATTAGGGCTTCGGGCTGGGAGGGACAGACCAGGGATAACTCTGGGGCTCGTTTGGAGGCTGCATGGTGGGGGGAGCAGGTCCCCTTTACCTTCTCACCCCGGCTACGAAAGGGACCTTTGGCCTCAATCATCTCATAGAGCGTCACCCCCAGGGTGAAATAATCCACACTCCAGTCGTACTCCTGGTTCTGCAGCAGCTCCGGGGCCATGAACCCTGGGGGAGAGAGATAGGGGTGAGAGACCCCAGGCAGGGCAGGGTGGAGGAGGGGAGGGAGTCTGAGTTGGGGCTGGGGGGGCTGGGATGGCTGGGAGGAAGGGCTAGGGGTTGGGGGGGAGCTGGAGGTGGGGG